TTAGACATTAAATTCACACCTCTTGGTGAAGAAGATATCGATATAAATAATGTCTAACCAAGTAGAATTTTTATTCCTAGGAGGCTCGTGATCAAGGAAACCATGAGAACCATGAATAGATTTAACAACTCGAACCCAAAGAGCATCAGGAAGAGTCTACTTGAACAACCCTATTAAGAGCAAAAAAAATTGTTAACCCTAAGGCCTCGACTATATATTTGGAAGACAAGACATTTTCCTAACTAACCCAAGCTATCTTCTTCTCATCCTTATCAACACCCAAAAAGAAATTTCTTCTCAAAGATTCAAGCTTTGCCAGAATACCCATAGAAACTTTTAAATTCGACATACAATACATCAGAAGAGAACCTAATAGTGATTTCAAGAGAGTTAAATAAATGACCACCAACAGAAAGAGATTTAACCTTCTAGTTGGACACCCAGTAGCCAGTAGCCATCAAGAATACATGTTAGCCATCTGAACACCCAGTAGCCGCATAGTCATTAAAAGAAGCAATACTTTCAACTTTATAAAAATTAAATCCTACCCCGAGAAGCCTATATTTATGGATATTGAGCTTCAGAATAGAATCCAAGAAAAAACATCAGAGAATATCCCAACAATATTTAAGAAATTATAATCTCTACATTCTCCAATAAAAATAGTGTCTATATGCAAAGAAGAGTATATCATACTACCAAAGAAATCACCTTGTTCTATCACCCAAGAAAAAGATAATTGAAGCTATTCCATCACCATAATGAATAAAAAATTTGGTCCTTAAAGAAGATTATAAATGTTGAGTTTGAAAGAATTCTCCAGAACTATCGATACAAGGTACTTCGAGCAGACAACAGTATCTGTGAATTCACCATTGTTGAATTTTTGTTGATGAATCTGAATGATCTTATCACCTTGGCTCCGCTTGTGAAAACACTTAATGATAAACAAGTCACCGACAAAAGAGCTTACATTATAGGGTATGCTCATGTGAAGAATTTTATTAACTGTTATCTTACACACCTAGGATTAACTGACTTCGAGATTGCTAAAGCTTACAACGAGCCTAGGAAAAAACCCAATACGGAGTTCGAGGGTGTTGATATAGAATAGCATAAATATGGAGAAATACTTTTAAAGCCTTTGGGTGTTGTTGTTCAAGGAAATAAGGTTAAGGGAGTGCATAAGAAACATTTCTTTTACATTGACTTGAAGAATATGTATTCTACAACTAATCTAACAAACCTTTTGCTATGAATAGTGAAGTGTAAGAGGAATTTTGATGCTGATAAAATGGAGATCAGAAATGTAACACCTAGTTTCCATGATATTTCTAATTTGAAGATAGAGGATTGTAATTTGATCAAGTAAAGGTCTTGGACTTCAAAGGAATTGATTATAGACCTTATCAGGATATTGATAATGTTGGTTAAGTGATTAAAGCCCTCGAATTATGCTTTGAAGTGACAGGGGTAAAATGGTAAAAGTAATATTTTAGGATTATTGCATGAATTGTGGTTTTAGTTCGTCATGTATTATGTCAAAAGTAACTAAATATAATTGTGGGGCTTGTCAATACCTTCGTGTGGATATAAAGATCACCGAAAACGGATTTGAAATAAAGAAGTTACGGTTGTTTAAATACTAGATCTTGGAAGTTATGCCCTATGTTGAGCGTATGATAGTCCTCTACGTTGAGCGTAGGTGGGAATGTTGGACGGGGTTTTAGTGAACTATGTTAAATGTTGGTTAGGCTACGCTGAGTGTAGTCTTGTTGGAACAAAACCCTAAATTTATGGTTGTAAGCCCTATTTAAAGGCTCTAACTCCTTGAGATAATCCCAATGCCCAGCCTCCACCCTCTCAAATGACCTCCTTGAAACCCTAGCCGTCATTTGTGAGTTTTAAGCTTTTGGAGTGTTTTGTGTTCACTTTTGAATGAAGAAGAGTATCGTAGAACCACTTAGGAGCTCAAATCAGTGTAGATCTGGAAATTGCATCCTCTTATCCATCTCCAGAAGGTATAAAGCTTCTATCTTGATGCCTTTTCATGTTAGATCTAGTTTGATCTTGAGATTATAAGCTTTTCCCCCATAATATTGATCCATGTGAGCATGGCCTACTCCAAACCTTCTGAATGTCATTTTCTGATGTTTCTAAGGTTATAGAATCATAAAAATAATTGCTTGGACACTCTCATCCTTTCATTCATGAGTTCTTGATAAAAAAAAAATATGGCTTTATGCACTTTGGGTTTGGTTTTGTGCTCCTTATAGCCATGCAAATGGATAAAGTCTGAGACTTTATCCATTAAGATGTTCATTTTGATCAGATCTGAAAGATTGAGGAATTAAGCTTTTGTATTAAGAGCTTAATAGAGTTTTTGGGCATCAATGTCCTACATTAAGTGTAGCCTTCTCTACGATGAGCGTAGAGCAATGTGTTACGATGAGCATAACATCACAGTTATGAGTGATACTTGATTAATAGTAGGGATGAGTAGCAGAACTCGGTACCCGCTTTCGGAACCAGAACCACCTCGAAGCGGTTCCAGTTCCGGTTCTTATTTTTATGGAACTGCTACCCGCTGGGTACCCGCCGGAATCGATATATATATATATATATATATATATATATATCACAAACACATACTTTATACGGTATCTCGTATACGTAACGAATTACATAGTACAGTTGTCGATAACTTTCTTGTATGTTTACAATAGATATACTTTTATTAGTTTTAAAAATTCAACCAATTTAACAAATAGGGTACCCGCTACTGGAACCACTACCCGCAGGTTCCGGTTCTGGTTCCAACATTTTAGGAATCGTCGGTTTCGGTTCCAGATAATTAGGGCGGCTACCCACATATGCACATCCCTAATTAAAAGGTACTATCTTTGTATCCTTAACACCTGAGATACATAGTGAGACTTAAGTGTAATGAGTGTTATGCTTTGATATGGTTAAATGTTGATCCTTAACCAGGTAGTTATAAAATCCATTTTCAGGTATAGTGTGAACTACGGAAATAGCTTATGTATTTGAGATGAGATTTGTTCCTCTTATGTGTTAAGAGCTAGACATCTAACGCGCGTTACCCCCAACTTGAACTTAAAATGAGATTGATGTGATCCAAGTTACATGTTTAGCAGGATATATGTGGAAAATGGATAACTGATAAACTTACCTTATAAATCAACTGAGGCTTTGAGTTTTTAGGAATTAGATGTTGATAGAATAACATTAAGTCATATATTACTGGGGTAGTGAAATGTTGCTAGACGTTCACCACTATCTATATCAATCTATGACGAGTCTTGTGCAAGTGGGAGATTGAAAGATCTATATGCCCATGAATCATTATAGAATGATATTGCAATATAATATATGATCCTAAAGGGTCACCTTAACAACAAATTGATGCAAATATATTATTTATAAGAATCTGATTCTTGATATATATATATATATATATATATATATATATATATATATATATATATATATATATATATATATATATATATATTATAATTAATTGTAAATTATTTATTTCATGGAAATATTAATTTTCAATGTTAAGTATCAAAATATATCATAATATATGATTTATTATATCATGTACATCGTTTTGGACGAAAAGGGTTTTTTGTCTTATATTATGTTTTATAAGTTATAAAAACACATAAAATAGAAGAATTTTATAGAAAAAATAGCTTCTTCTTTTTATAAAATACTCAAAGAGACCATAAAGAAGAAAGAAGATTTGTTTTTGATTAATTTATTCAACACACCAATGCTAAGATCCATGGATAAAGGCTTAAAGTAAAGACTTAAAAAAACTAGTTTTCTCGCTTCTTTCACTAAGTGAAAACCACGAAATTTGTGGCTTCCCATCTTCATATTCTCTTTAGTTTTTGTCTCTTAAAGTGTTAAGAACATTAAGATGAAGATGATACTTGAATACTTTCTTTTAAGGCAAACTAGTTTCTTTGTCTTAAGAGCTTAGTAGATTCTTTTATTACAAGAAAAAGACTAGCATCTTATCAAGTTGATTTATTGTTGGTGGATATCTCTATAGAACTTCTACCTTGAAGTTTCATGTTACACGTCATCATCTTCCAATCTCCCATGAGAATCAAAGTATTCAAAAGTTGTAACATTTGTATTTCTATGGTTGTTTTTATATTTCTAAGTCTTGCAAAATGATCTTTTGGTGGGAATAAAACTAGTTTTATTTTGCTCAAAATTAAAGTATATTGTTGCCATGTTTATGTTTTTGAAATAATTTTTGAATAAAAACCCAACAAAATCTCATATATTTCAACCTTTGGACGATCTTATGTTTAAAAAAAGTAGTAACAACTTTAGTTTTTTTTTTCATTAATATCTTATACTTCGTAATCTAGGGGTGAGCAGTTGGGCCTTCGTACCAGGAATCAGACCTGGATCTGGACCTGGTAAGCATCAACAAATCCAGACTAAAGTCCACCAACTTCTGCAAAATAGGTCTGATACGGTTCCATCCAATCCAAATGCTTAATTTTACATCGAAGAACTAGGAACCTGGCCTTGGACCTAGTAAGCCTCAACAGGTACTGTCCAAGGTCCATCAATTTTTGTAAAACCGGTCTAGTCCAAATGCTCACCCTACCACAATCTCACTCGCCCACTTCCCTTTTCGTATGACTTGCTTCCTTTAAACTTATTGTGGATTTTGCTCATCCACCTACCAAACTACTACTCCTTCCTTTTTTCATTTTTTCCCACTTCTCCACACCCTACTCTTTCAACCTATAGTGTCTCAATCTAACACGACACAACATATTTACAAGGTTTAAACCCTAAACAATCTGACACGAACTCACATAGAAATAAACAAGTTCAACATGATACTTAAATAGGTCTAATTAAAGTCAAGCTATATCAACCCATTTAAGTTTCAACAGACACGGACGTTTTCCACCCTTAATTTCTATAGTCATAAGGTAATGGGTAAAAGAAAAAAATGACATGGGTATATTGTAAAGTTTAGTAGTAACCAAGAAGCAAAGTAGAATAAACCTAAAATTCGAGGTAGCTGAATGTCAAACTTTACTAAAATAATCCCATTGGTAGCAGAAGTCGCCTTCATGCGGGGTATCAAATACGAAGCCAACGCTAAAAAACAGTGGGAGAAGAAGAGCGATCGCAAAAGCGTGAAAAGTAAGTCAAAAGCTCCTTTGGTGCATCCTTTCTATCATCATAAGATACATACTGATCTAAAAACTCCCTAAACATTATAGATCTGTAAGTTTTTTTTTTGCGAATTATGATCCTCAAAGTCGCTGTTATTGGCTCGTAATCTCTATGAAGTCGAATTATTTATATCTATAGCTATAATCACGCTATGTGACCAACGAAATTAACAAATTGAAAGGAATTCGTTATATAACTATTAATTTATTAGAGTTTTAGGTTTAAAATTGGCTCTATTAGCATTGATACCTTTCTATCTGTTAATTGCAATATATATTGGCTTTTGCGATCAAATTTCAGAGACATTAAAGATGACGAAAATTGTCAGTGGCAAAATTTGCTGTTCAATTTAGCTGACTATATATCATTTTTTGTCGTGGAATTTAGAAATGACCAGTAGTATCATCAATTCATTATCGCTAATGAAAACGAACAGGAAGTTGAAACCTGATGATGAACTTGAAAAGTTAATTTGTGAACTTTACGATAGAAAACAGTTCATCGTTGGGAAGAAAGTAAAATGAGCATGATCTTAGTATCTTCATGTTGATGTATTTTGTTGCAGATTTCATTCTCTTTAGCTGCTGAAGTCGATTACATTACATCTCTGGTGATTAATATGAGTCTTGGTGGCCCTTCTCTTGGTTCTGGTTAGTTTCTTTTTGTTCATTTTCTCTATGTTAATTCCTTTTATATTTATGTAAAATGTAATGTGAAAATGGGATATTTTAATGAAAGGTGGTAGAACTGCTAGAAGGGCATTTGAGTTTGGACAGACACACGTGGTAAAACCTAAAGGCAAACACCTGGCAACCATTGTTTGGTTGCATGGTCTTGGTGACAATGGTGCAAGGTAATAATAATACTAACATCATCTCAAATTCTCAACTTCTTTTCTCTGTTTTCTATCATCTTTTTCATTTGTTTTTAATCTTTAGCTACTGAGATCTATGTTCTGTTTCCTGACAGCTGGGCCCAGCTCTTGGAGACCCTTCCTCTTCCAAATGTAAGGACAATATTCCTTTATTAACATTTATTGAAAAAAAAAAAAACAAATCATTTCCCCTGTTTTATAATTTCTACACAAAACATATAGATTGATTTAACTGAATATGATGCAGATCAAATGGATATGCCCCACATCTCCTTCTCAACCCTTAACATTATTTGGTGGCTTTCCTTCAAATGCATGTATGTTTTTATGCTCTTGTAAAAAAACAAATTAAAAAATAAAAATATGCATGAAATTATCAAAAAGTTGGTGTGATGGATTTTAGGGTTTGATGTAAGTGACCTTTCTGAGGAATCAAAACAAGATGTAGATGGACTTGATGCTTCAGCTGCACATGTTTTGAGTCTCCTCTCTGCTGAGCCTCCAGATGGTAGCTTTCATTTTTTTTTTCTTCCCCTGAAATGACCAAAATACCCTTACTAGTTATTTCTTCCACTTTGGCAGTGAAACTTGGAGTAGGAGGGTTTAGTATGGGTTCAGCCACTGCTTTATACTCTGCAAGTTGCTTTGCTCATGGAAAACTTGGGGATGACAATGCTTACTCAGCCCATTTGGATGCAGTTATTGGCCTTAGTGGCTGGCTTCCATGTGCCAAGTATTATTTACCATTTTACCCTTTCTCCTTCCCCAATCAACACCTTATTTGGTGATATGATATTCTTTACTAGGGACCTAAGTAGCAAGGTAGAAGGAGATGAAGCTGCAGCTCGAGCATCATCTTTGCCCATTTTGCTATGTCATGGAAAAGGTAACTTTTTTTTTTTTTTAAATTAATTTCACTTTTAAAAATCCAATTTTTAGATATTGACTCTATTTTCGCAATGTGATTTCAGTTGATGATGTGGTTCTCTTCCGTTATGGTGACAAGTCATCAGAGAAATTAACTTCTACTGGCTTTAAAAACTTGACCTTCAAAACCTACGACTCGTATGTAACCTTTCTATCAAATAAAATATCAGAATCACTCCAATGCATGTCAAACACAGTACTACTGACTGTTGTTTTTTTTTTTACAGGCTTGGCCACTACACGATGCCAGAAGAGATGGACGATGTTTGTTCGTGGCTAACTTCAAAATTAGAGCTCAAGTGCGAGTCGTAGTTTCATCGATTGAAAAATCAAAATCAAAACCAAAAACAATATTTTGTGATGTGATATGAAATATGATTTGCTCAAACATTTAAACAAGTGTGATGATTTGGGTGTGAAAGTTACATGGGATACTTTGGTTGTGGTTCCAAACAATCAATCATTTAAATACTTGGGTTTACAATCTACAGAAAAGTACATTCGATTGTGTACAACAAACGGAAGCGATAAACAAAACAATAATAAACTTAGGAGCAAAATAAAAAATCACTTGAAATCTCAACAAATTACTATGAAAGAAAGATTGGGTTTTTGGTTTCATCTAGCGACCTCTTTGATAAAAGATACATCATTGTAGGGTGGTGGGAGGAGGTGTTTATCTTGCTCATCATTGTCATATTCTTCTTCTGTAGGTGGAGGTGGTTCTTGAGCATTGGTTGTTGACACAGATGTGTTCCCATCTTCTTCTGTAAATCCATCAGATCAAAATATTACTATTCTAATATATCTATTTCACATTAAATTAAAGGGCAAATTTGTAAAAAGACAGGACTTATCTCTCATACTTTATCTATAATAAGTCAAAAAGAATATAAAAAACATACCACAATTATGATACTCAGGAAGCTGTTTAACAGCAGATACTTGAAGGCTTTCAGGAAGTAGACAACTGCAAACAGCACCTACACATTATGAAACCAAAATATCACTACTGTGTTTGACTTTGACATGTATTGATTAATGAATGAATAGGACAAAAGCAAAAAGACATAAATACCCTCATAAAAAATAAAAAATACGCACCTAATCTGGCGAGTCGGTTGACCCAGCCAGGGATACTTTTGCCAGTTAATCTTTGGGAAATGTCATCTGTAAAATGGTTGCAGTTTTTGGAAATGAGGTGATATGTGTCTCCATGATACTCTGAAGCCACATTCTCAATAAATTCCCTAAATTCGGATGGTGATTTGGTTACATGCCCTAATGGGATTGAACATCTGTAAACAAAACCAGGGCAACTCTTGGGTTCAACTTCAAACACACCACTAATTGGAAAATCATGAGCCCCGTATCCGTATTCCATACCATACACTGTAACAAATGAAAGGGTAATTACGTAATTTCACATTTATCTCAATTGACTTGCAAATCTTAGTTGATACAGAAAAAACGAGTAAGCATAGCTTTTTATCTGTCATTTCTGTGTTCATGAATAAAACTCAATCAACATTACATAGCATCTTTTACAACTAAAGAAACTTGATTTATCTTAAAGCCTAAAAAAAAATCTATCCCATGAAGAATGACATGTAGTAAAATCCCAAAATAACCAATCAAAAATCTTTGCATTTTTGAAAGATCCCGATTCATTGATTAAGAAGACATCTTTTATGGCGCAAGAACCACAAAGAGCTCATAAAACAATTAATGTTTTATATTCTACAAAACCCATATCACCAAATACAAATCAAAGAAAACCCAAATGATTTAATTTGTACAATTTGGAATTGAACATAAACACCCATGAAAAGTTAAGTCGTGATCACCATTTAACTGTAATCCAAAACCTCATAAATCATTAAGTTAAAACATAAACCCATTGCAGTTACAGATCATTCTACAAAACCAATTACGAAAGAAAAGTAAGAGCCCAAATGATTCTATTCATCAAGAAGACATGAGTGTAAGGCTCAAGAACCCCTACCCAAAAACCTCATAAAACTTTGAACTAAAACAAAAACCCATTAACGTTTCAAATCAGTCGACTAAACCCACATCACCATATACAAAATCGCCTAAAATGGAATTAGATCAGGTTGGATTTTTGCTCACCTTGAATACCCGAATGAAAAATACCAAATCCAAACCAGATGCTGTACGAATTGATAGGGGTAAGATCATATACATTCAGGAAAACTTGTGTGTCCATGTTGCTGTAATTCCTTTCTGGGCTTGTTGAGTTTGATGAGGTACTGTGTCGTCCCATTTGCTGATTTTAGTTTGCTTGTCTCTAAAATTAAAAGTGATCTATCTTTCTGAAGAAGAGAAAAGGGGCTTCGTATGATTTTATGAACGATTTTTCGTTTCTGGGATCATACTTTTTGCTGTGAGATACAAACACACACTCCAATCGAAAAGGGTTGATTTTCCTGTTCGGGGAAGAGGCAAAATTGATCGGAACTCTTTTCGAGTGTACAATTGGGAAAAGGAAAAAGGAAAAGGAGAAAGGGTAAAGTGGGAAGAGGGATTTTCAGAAAGCTGTATAAGTTCAATTTGGATCGTGGGATCAATCATGGAAGTGAACGAGTCAGGACTCGCTGTGTCGCTCAGCTCATTTGGGCCCTTTGATAAAATATGACAGATTGGGATCAATCATCAAAGTTTCATCAGGTAGGGTTGAGTTTTTGACCGAAAAGAAAATGTATTTTTTTTATAGAATATAAAATTTTAAAATATTTAAAACATTTAAAAAAAACATCAATTTTTGATAAAATGTTTCAATATGACCACTCTTACATGTTATATGATAGGTGAATTATGAGAAAAAACATTAATATTTTTTCAAAATTTTAGTTTAACCATTAATTTATGGTTAGTTATTTTAAAACAAATAAAAATTAGTGTTTTTTTTAACATTATTTCGAATCATAATGGTCACGATGGAACATTTACGAAAAAACTGAGGTTTTTTTAATACAAATAAATATTGGATGGTTAAATAAAAAAATATAAAAAAAAAAAAAAAAAAAAAGATTAAGTATAGTTTTTTTTGTAATTAGCCCAAATATTTTATCAAATAATTAAAGTTTTAAATTTTTATATTTTTATAGATATTCAGTTTTTTACTATAACAATATAATTCAATCAATGTATCTATGATTAATGAGTGTTTTTTTTATCAAAAGAGTGTTTTTTATAAACTATCGAATAGGTATGGTTTTGAAAATATTTAATAAATGGTGTATTTTTAAAAATTTATAATTTTATGTTTTTTAACTATTTTTTATATATATATATATATATATATATATATATATATATATATATATATATATATTACTTTTTAAAACTTTTTTCTACTAATGCTTATCAAAAAAATTTACAAACATCAATTTTTACTTTGAGTTAATATTACTGTAACTCAATCAACTATCAATTTTTATATTAAATAGTCCCTCAAGTTTTTTTTTTGGTATCTTAGAAGTATTAACTTCGGGTTTTAGTTTTAAAATGTTCTTTTATAGATAATGAAAGGGTCTACCGATAAACCCCTATCTAGTTGGCAAGATACATTGTCATGTCATTAAATGAATTTTGCTAACTCTTGTGCCATAAAGCAACACTTTTTTTTTTATGAATATAACCACCGAATCAACACTTTTTTTTCGATGAAGATCAACGTAGACAAATTTTGTGATGAAAATCGTTGGAGTGCAGGGATGCTAACCGGCTCTGTGTCATCGTCATTGTCGTCCAATAATCTTCTCTTACATCCCTCTTTCCTAGATGCCCTACATGAATCTTTCAAATTCTAGTCTTCTTGTAACATCCGGTTTTGAGGTATGTTTTACTTTAATTTAAGATTTGATTTTGGAGAGTCACTACGGCGTGGGAAGGATGGCCGCCATGACATGGCGAGACATTTTCCAGCCGCGGGTCTTTTTGCCTCGCCACGATGTGGCAAGGAAGGTCACGGCGTGGCCGCCGCTGATGTCTTAAACTCTAATTTTTCAGGTTTTACATCTATTTAAAGGAATAAGGAGGCTAGGGTTTGCCCACCCTCAGCCTCCACCGCCCTCTTAAACTTAGAAGAAATCCTAACTCATTTTCCTCCATTTTTGAAGCTTTCTTAAGTGCTTTTGAGAGGTCTTGAAGGAAGAAGCAAGAAGAAGTAAGCTAAGGATCAACAAGAGAGTCCCTATCTCCTTTCCTAGCTCAATTTTGGACACTTGTAAGTGTTCAAGGTTCCATCTTTTTTATTATAGAGTGTTAGATCCTGTATTTTGTCCCATTTTTTTCTTGGTCTTGTGTAACATCCCGTTTTCCAAGTATGAGATTTATTATTTTAAAAGTCAAAATTCCCTTGGAACTCGTCAAGATGATGGCCTCAATTCAACGTGTTGAAAGGCCTTGGGCCACACATCTTTTTGGACCAAGTCGACGAGTTGGTGGTTGATTATGAAACCCTAATTTTTAGGGTGTTAAACCCTATCTAAAGGCCTTAAGTCCCATTTATGGCCTCCCTAATTGCCTCCTCTGTCCAGAAACCCTAATTTTTGTGCATACTCTCTCAAGTTAAGTGTGTAAGCTTGAACAGTTGGTCCTTTTGGTGTTCTTTTGAAGGAACTTGAGGTTGGAAGTGTCTAGATTTAAGGGAAGTCTTCGGATCCAGAAACTCTGTCACACCCCCAAACCAGAACGGCGGAAACATTCAGGGGTGGAGGACATCATGTACAGACAACAGCTGAATAAAAGTAATCAAAGCAACAACCATTGTATTAATTAATATCTAGTTTTACATTCTGTCCAAAATATTGCATGATTAACATTAAACAATAACCAGAAGACAAGACGTAAAGTTACTATGCTCCGTCTTCATAAATCCTGATAAGGTACCTGTATACTAGTTATCCTTAGAATACAAGTGGTTTGAAAAAAGTATCAACATTAAAGTTGGTGAGTTCATAAGCATTTTGTTTTAGAAAATATGTTCTTCGTTCTTTGAAAATGTTAATGTTTTCCTCTAGAAAATCCAATATTTTCTGATGTGATGAATGATAAATAAGGTGACTTGTAAGTTAAAGTTGGATCTTTTGTAAATACGTTACTAGTTGCATCTGCTCTACTGCAAATCATTTTTTTTATAAGTAATCGCCTTTTTGTTTTCAGAAAGTTAAGTTGTAATTTGTTTACTTGTAAAAGAATGACGGTAATCCTAGAAAATCCTATATTTTCCATAGAAAACGAGTTGAAATGTTAAACGTTCCAAGACTGAAAGGTTCAAGTATAAATACCATACTTAATTTATTTGCAAAGTAGTCTTAAACCCTAAGACAAAAGTGTTTGGATGTTGATGTGCGTTAAGTTTGTATACTTGATGTTTTGTTACTTGATAAAAATTGGTTTGATGTATGTTTCCCCAATGTTGTAAGTTCGGTTCTAGAAAGTGATTTGCTATACAAGTACGTGTTGGTATGACCCATATCTGTTCCTCCTATGATTACTTAGTGAATCAGAGTTATATATAGGTAAGATTGAATGAACTGTTGATTGGGTGATTCCACTCTAAGCCCACAACCAAACAAGGAACAGGAAGTAAGGCGGAAAACACGCATTCCACTGCTTATCGAATATTGTCTAATTATAACTTTGGCGTATAAACCAAGACAATCCTAGAATTTACAATAAGATACCTTTAGATCCTACTGGTTTGTAAAGTCCTTTGTTGTGGTTTTATAATTAAATAAAACTAAGTGAAGTTTGTTTACATATTCATACACTAATCGTACTGATGATACCAAATTGTGAGTTCTCATAACCATACTAATACGACGGATGGCCTGACTGGAGTTGAAATCGTTCATGATATTTGTTACCCCAGGCCTGCCAGCCTAACTCTAGCTAATAGTTAAGGTGCGGGATTGTCAGTTCCATATAGATCTATACACAAACTCACGCTCTTCCGCCAGGAGACTCTGGTTATTAAGGTCATGGCTTTTGTTGGCACTTACATAAGTACTTGAAGACGTTATCTCACAAAGCTATGCTGACAGTTAAATGTAGAACAAAGAATTTTTTTTTTTTTTTTTGTAAATAACATGTAGCTTTGTAAAATAGTTCGTTCCATAAACTATACCTATTATAGTTTATAAGTTGGTTTTTCCGTGTTATGACCTAAGCCTGTAAAATAGTTGCATTTGTTCCATAAACTATAATTATTATAGTTTATAAGTTTGTTTTTCCGTGTTATAACCTGAGCCTGTAAAATAGTTCCCTTTGTTCCATAAACTATACTTATTATAATTTATAAATTTGTTTTTCTGTATTATGATCTAAGCCTGTAAAATATTCTCTTTGTTCCATAAATTATACTTATTATAGTTTATAAGTTTGTTTTTCAGTGTTAAAATCTGAACTTCTAAACTAGTTTTCGTTCATGTAAAAATATTACGAATTATGATATTTTGTAGTTTAACCCCAATGATGTTTGACGTATTTAGTAACTTCACATTTAAATGCATGCTAACGGTACGAAAATATAATAAACAAAATTATATTCTTAAACACAAGGTTACTTGTGTTTTACTTGTATCCCCTCCCCCCCCCCCCCCCCCCCTCTTTTAAAAACATTGATAAAACTTGGAAAAATATGGGGGTATGAACTCAACTCAAATGTGTATACTCGATTGAGTTGTGAAGTGCTAACAGTGGTTCTCAAATTAGAATACGTGACAGTAGTCGTATCCTAAAAATAATTATCCCCGACGTCGTATTTAAATTAATAAGATATTAATTTAAATAATAAATTAAATAATGTTGTAAATAATAATTAAAGTGTTAAACAACACTTTAATTATGTAATGAATATCTACAATAATTATTTTGAATTATCTGAAATGTTGAAATGGGTTTTCGGTGAACAAATAGAGTTTTCGGTGGGGGTTTGGGTGATTTCGGTTGGAGCTTGAAGATTTGAAGATCTTGTTGAATGTTCTTGGTGTTCTTGGTGTTCTAGGTGTCTTCTTGGTAAATTTATGAAGATTCGAAGGAAATCTAGGCCGAATCTTATGAGTTTTGAGAGCAAAATGGAAGTGTATTCGGTGGAAAAGTGGGAAAATAAATTGGGTGTTCGGCTGAGTAAATATATATAGGAAGTAGAATTCGGTCTTAATGGGATAGGCCATTAGTTTGTTCAGTCTTAATGGGCCTTTTCTTTGCGTGTTCGGTCATAGCAAGACTGAAAACACCTTTGCTTAATTGTTATGGCCGAAAACATCATTTACATTAGATTCCAAATACCGAATTCTTGTTGCTTTTGATTTCCATGATAGAATTCATGTTGTTTCTAGAATATATGGACCGAATTCTCTTTGTTTCATGAATTATTGGCCGAAAACACATATATGGGAGGTTATTTCATGTTTAACACTTTACACTTTTAACATATGTTGACATATATTAGTGTAAATCAACTTAGTTTTCTAACCACACTTAGTTATTAGCTTTATAAACTTGCCTTAAAGGCTATAAAGGATACAATGCAACAAGGATTGCAATGTGGTTTCGCTTATACTAGGTTAGGGTTTAGACTTTGTTGGGTCTAAAATTTTCCAGTTGTGACAAACTTTTCGAGTATTGTAGTTCTTTTGAGGTAAAAAGTCGACAACTTGCTTATCTGTTGCTTAGATATATTCCTTGGAAGTTTATTGTCATATTAGGCTCATTTTTGGGGTTGTTTATTGTATTGTTCTGGTTTTGTTGTGTATTGGTATTTTGGGGAAACTTGCTAAGCTTTGGGTTTACAGTTTTGGATTATGTTTTAGGTACTTCCCAGGATCGTGGGAAGGCGCAGGCGTGATCCTGTACCTCCTCATGTTTTTATTTCACGATTTTGGGAATTTTCTAATGTTGAACTTATTTTGAAACATTATCCATTAATATCATAATGATGATCAGATCTTGACCATGGAACTTCTGCAATTGGAGGATTCATCTTAACCCATTAAGACACTTTAAACCCAGTGCCCACGACGTAGCCTAGGTTCCCACGACGTGGCTACTGGGGGAAATGTGTGTGTTTTGTTGTTTGAAGGCCACGACATGGCCAAGGATGACGACGACGTGGAGGGTCAACCTTGACCCTTGACTTTTGGTCAAACCCCTAGTTTTGGAAGGGAAATTAAGGTTGTACTTTGTATGATTGTATATATGGTTTGTAGCATCTGTATTTGTGGAAGTAGGAATAGTAGCAGTTAATCATCGTTTACTAGGTGACTCTCTTTACTATACTCGCGAGTCGAAGGCACCAATATCGGCCCACTGGATTATATTTGTAGGATGATATAGCCTTTTGTGACACTTGCTAATATGCATGTATGTGCTTGTTGTCTTTGTAAATCTTGCTGATATGATTATATGCTTAGTTGTAAGGGTAAAATAGACCCAGAACTGATTGAAAGATACCGAAGGGGGTGAAATAGACCCAGTACCGGTTGAAAGATACCGAAGGGGGTGAAGTAGACCCAGTTTTAGTTTCGAACTGTTATGTATGTTTGGTATGAGGTATTTTGGGGGAACTCACTAAGTTTTGTGCTTATAGTTTTATATTTATGGTTTTAGGTACTTCCAGTTCGAAAGAGAAGGGTCCGGTATGATCGCACCGCATCAACCAACATCTTGTATTTTATGTCATGATTTGTAGTCTAATAACTATTTTATACATTATAACATTTTGATGGATTTTCATTAAATGAAGTGATGTTTTTGTTGGTTTTATAAGGAAATTTTTACATAGTGTTTTTTGGGATGTTACACTTCTCTTATGTCATTCTTTCATAGATGCCTCGCATGAACGCTTCAATTTCTCCACTACAGGTACTCTCGAGCTTTTCACACCTTTTTTCTGTATATACTTACCCATTTTTGTTTATTGATTTATCCAAAAGACTGTAGATGGAGGCCTCGTGAAGAGTTGTAGAACTAATAAATATCATTGAAGAAAAACAAGTAGCTTCGCATACATAGTTCGAGATCACGATAAGATTTTATGTAAAAAAAATATCCTGTCATTTTTATGTTCCTGCTTTAAGATAATCACGACTACCATAATTTTTATATTCATGATTGCATCTCCGCACATATTTTAAGGCTAGTTTGAAATGTAAATCCTATGGTTTCCAGGTCTATTGAGTGACTGAGAAAAACAAGGTCGTTAACGTTTGCAGTGAAGATGGGGATAAAATTTTCAGAACAAATGAAGGGGAAACTGAAATTAAGAGTGAAAACCATACAAAAAATAAGAAGAGAAAACATATTCAATGAAGTATTTGGGGAAATTGAAGGAAAGAAATTGTTAAAAGCTTCTCAATGCTACTTATCAACCAATGCAAGTCCAATCGCTAGAATATTGTTCATTGCTACTTAAAAGACAACTTTCTACAATGATGGATCCATCACATTATGTTCACCAAATGGTGACCCGTTCGAAAACCTTACAAATTAATTAATTCAAAACCATTCCCCATTTTGCAAATCTTGTTGAAAGACATGTACTTTGATTACATATAAATTGTTAAAATATGATTGAATGTTGTTGGCTTTAAGTATTGATTCCAGTAAACTAGATTAAAGAAGCAAATGATAGTGAGAACGTGGAGAACCTTGAACAAAAGTACATATAAATTAGAACATAAGATTGTTTTGTTCCTCTAACACATAAAAAACACACATCGATAGAGATGATATATTCCGACATTTAGATTGATGGAGAGGATGACATTCAACGATTTTCAATATAAATATACCAGAGTGGTGGAGATGTGTAGGTGTTAGTGTTTAGGATCATAGATTAGACATGAGTGGAATAGTAAAAAAAGTAAGACACATTTTCTATAAGATAATCAAGATATTAATGGGTGATGTGAGGTGAATTTTAGTTTAATTTTTTTTAGTGAAAAAATAAATCATATCAAAAAAACCGTCAATTATAAGTCAGTGTCATTTTTAATAGATAAAAATGGATTTTATATTTCTGAAATACACACACAAAAAAATGATAGTTAGGACATCCATAATGCACCAAACTCCATAAAATCCAATGGATTGCCACATCATTTTTCTACGTTCCATACAATTCAATCAATTTTTTCCTACAATGCATTCAACTCTACAAAGTTCAATAGAAAATTATAAAAGTTAGTTTATAATATGTATTTAAGATTAGAAAACTTTCATTTTTCCATTGAAGAGTTCAATAGTCAATGAATTTCAAATCTATATTTTTCTACGTTCCATACAACTCAATCAATTTTTTCCTACAATGCATTCAACTCTACAAAGTTCAATAGAAAATTATAAAAGTTAGTTTATAATATGTATTTAAGATTAGAAAACTTTCATTTTTCCATTGAAGAGTTCAATAGTCAATGAATTTCAAATCTATTGAATCTCAAGGTGCATCTCACTATCATAGAGTTTCACAATTATGTTATAGTTTCACGATTGTGGATCCTCTTAGTTGGATTAAATGACATTAACCTATTAACCGAGCCTAAATCATAAAATGTCATATTTGTATCTTGTTTTGTGACAGGGATAATGTCATAAAAAACCTGAAGTTTGGCAGAAAATATCGGTTTTACCCTTCGGCAGATTTTTGGTTCATTTATACCGCAAACTTGTCATTTTTTTGTCGGTTATGCCCTTGTTACCTGCAATAGCAGGTTTCCAGGTTACTATTAATTATTTTTTGCGAAAAAACCCTTAAGTTTACAAATATTTTGCAAAAAAAACCCTTAAGATTATAAACATATAAAATATAAATATATATTCAAAATTTTATAAAACTAAATAGTTTTCTACTGAAACATATTTTTATTTTTATGTATGGTAAATTATATATTTGTTCGATACAAAGTTTTTATATTTAAATTTTAAAAAATACGTAGTTTTATCAAAATTTAAATATATTTATTAATTAATACTTAAACTTTTCAAAGCAACATTAAAAAACGTCTGTTAGCTAATAATAATATGACATTAGTTACATTCAATTAATTTTTTTAAAAGAAAAATAAAATTATTTTATTTTTTTAAAAGGTTTGTATTTCAGAAATAATAAACTATCATATTTTTTATAAAAATAAATATAATTATATAATAAATTAGACAAATATATTTATATTTTATATGTTTAAAATGTTTATATTTATTTATGATGTTTAAAGTGTTTATTATATTTTTATAAAAAAAATATGATAATATTATTATGTATTTAAACATAGAAAAATATGATATGTTAGTATTTCTGAAATACAAACTTTTTAAACATATAAAATATTTTTATTTACCTTTTAAAAAAATTAATTGAATGTATTTGATGTCATATTATTCATATTAACTATTTTAGCATAATTAATTATTAACTAACAAATGTTTTTTAATTTTGTTTTGAAAAGTTGAAGTATTAATTAAGAAACATATTCAAATTTTGATAAAACTATGTAACTTTTTTAAAATTTAAATATAAAAAGTTTATATCAAACCAATATAAAAGTTACCATATGTAAAGCTAAAAATATGTTTCAGTAGAAAACTATTTAGTTTTATCAAATTTTGAATATATATTTATATTTTATATGTTTATAATATTAAGGGTTTTTTTGCAAAATATTTGTAAACATAAGGGTTTTTTCGCAAAAAATAATTCATAGTAACCTGGAAACCTGTTATTGCAGGTAACAAGGGCAAAACCGACAAAAAAATGATAAGTTTGCGGTATAAACGAACCAAAAATCTGCCGAAGGGTAAAACCGACATTTTCTGCCAAACTTAAGGTTTTTTATGACATTATCCCTTTTGTGACATTACCCCTATTTTTTATAATGAGCCTTAATTTTCTCATCAGTAAATTGCAAAATATGATAAAAATTCATATTCGCATGAAAGATTAAACAAAACACCATTTCAATTAACTACTGATAATGTCTTTTTACAATATATTTCACATCTTTCAAGATAAATCATCATCAACACCATCGGACAACCCATTATCATCCTAACTCTCACCAACAACCGCGTCCCGAGCCCTCGCTCGAGATCTTCTCGAACCGTTTCCCGGTCTAGACATATTAACCACATAAGCCCTCAATGTTGATTCAAGTGTACGCAAAAAATCCAAAAGATCGCTCTCTCCTTCCAGCCACCGCCACTCCTGCCGTTGCCTAAGATCCACCTCCGATGGTCTTACCAGAGGGTGCACCACCCTCGCGTGCCTCCTTAACTCTGAATACACCCCTGAAAACTGACACGTTTCACTTGTACAGCTTCTTGATTTCGTGTTCATGAACTCACGGGCGGCTTCCACCACCACCCACCCTTTCACCTGTCCCCGACAGAGCGGACATACCACTTTTGATTCCTGGACGGTGGCGATGGACGGTGGTTCACCGGTGGTGGCCGGAGTTTCAAAGGACTTACGGAACTGGTTGAAGCAATTGGAGTGGCGGAGGCTTGTGTCACACATGTAAGGGCGACAATTGTTGTCGTGTGAAGAACATAAGGTGCTGTTTGTTTTTCGGAAAAAAACCTCTCCAAACCTCTTACTGCTGCGTGACGCAGCACACGCGCAACACTTTTCATCTCGCAGCTATTTGTTTTTTAGAAGTCTTCTGAATCAAAAACCTCTGCGCGTGCTCTGTTTGGTGCAGCACTTGTACTGCCTCTTCCAACCTCTTTTTCTTCTTTTTTACTGCTGAAATTTTGATTATGTTATTAAATTTTTATTTCACATTTTTTTTTTTCGTTTTTTCTTATTGATTTTATTTTTTCATTTTTTTATATTCAATAATGATAATTTCTTGATGAAATATCATTATTTTTTACTAAAATATCTTTATTTTTTGTTGAAATATCATTAATTTTTACCGAAATGTTATACATTATTAAATTTTACGTATTAAAAAGCTATTTTTGGTTTATAAAATTAGTTTATTTTAATTTTTTAATATCCGCAGCAGTATGCAGATATTAAAAAAACAAACACGCTTCTTATTATAGTCTGCAGCTGTTTGGTCCACCTCTTCTACTACAGAGGCTTACAGAGGTGGTCAACAGACTTCATGAATTTTTGCTTTAGAAAATCAAACATTGTGAGGGTGTTCCATACATACAGGGCATCGAGCTTCTTCCCATTCTTTCAGATTTTGATCTTTTTCTAATCGCTTTGAATGACCGGTGTTGGTGTTGCATTTGTATGGAGAATGCCGGGACTTATCGGTGGACACTGAGTTGTCTCGTCTCACCTTTGGCATTGTTATCTGTAAAAAAAAAAAAAAAAAAAAAAAAAAAAAAAAAAAAAAAAACCTAATTACATTAAAGAAATAGGGAATGACAAAATCAAAATTCCATTAACAAGACCCTGAATCCAGAAATGATATCGTTTACTTCAAATAGATTATGAAAGCTAAAATCAGATCAAAACATTGAAGCACAAACCCTAGAAAAGCTCACATTCAAAATATAAGCAAGCTTAAACATGATCGGAGAAGTAATCGAACATTTTTTTCGTGGGAATTTTACCTCTACAACATTGATCTCCCTTGAATCAACGAAGAATGCTATCTATTCTACACTCAATTACAAATCACTCAAGAAGATACAAAACCCTAAGATCTAACTTGTGTGTATTATATGAATTTACCCAGAAAATACAAATTACATTCAAACTTCAAAGGATGTAATCCGGGTAAAACCCATGGATCAGAAGATCCGCGTCGTTTTGCAAGTTTAATAAATTGAGCCCCAGTCCTGAAATCTCGTAGCTAAAACACTTTATGCCCTCAGCAACATTTCAGCAATGTTTGTTTAACTTGTCATATTCAGTCCTTTCTAACAATTACTTGCACGATTGAGTTAATAGGACACGATTCAACATCCTCCCTCGATGTGACTGTTGAAAAGGTTCTATTAAAATTAATTTATTTGATAAAAAAACGTATTGATTAACATATCTACAATTTGAATAGTAGTATCAAATTTAATAACTTTTCTCGATCCAAATATAATTGATGTCCAAACTATAATATAAAAACCATTAACGGGTATTTGGATGCGTGTATCACTTTCTCGTTATTATGATCATTAAAAAATTAAAAAAATTAAAAAAAAAAAAAAAAAAAAAAAAAAAAAAAAAAAAAAACTGAATGTTTGAATAAAGATAATAGTACCTAATTATCTTTAACTTAATTTGAGTCACTTAAATATATGACTATGTACTTTAAAATTGCACTACTGAATGACCCAATAATTAAAATGTATATCAAGTTATCAACTGAGGGTATGTTCCTTGAAAGCTTTTATGAGTTTTTAGATTTTAAAAATAATAATAAAAAAAATGAAAAAGTAGAAGCTCACGATCTTTGAAGTTAGTCTTGAAAAAGCCTAAAACATCTTGATTTGTGGGTACATGGATCAGATTGTGTGTTTTTAGGTTTTGTCCAGAAGTGAAGAGATTGTGTGTGTGCACTCTTCTTGAGCTTCACTTGTAATGAATGGAAGTCTCATGTATAGATTTTTTTTAGAATAAGAGATGCTTATCCTAATAAAATATTAATCATAATTTCGAGTTTTAATCATAAAATTCACAAGTAAGGACAATTCGGAAGAATAAACACATTACATAGTATTTTTACAGTCACAATTACAAGTCTTAACCATAAATCTTAATTCACAACTAAAATTAATTTACTATATATTCTCAAGAAATATAGATACAAAAGAGCTATCAAACGTACTCCTTAACAAATACATTACAAAGTCGTAATGTAATATAAAATACGTGCAACTAATAAAAAGGATTTAGCATTACCAAATAAATTAATGTAATAAAACTAATATGAATGAAATCTAGCAATATTTACAAGGGAAAATAACACTATAACACATTAAAGTTTTGTCATTTGTCTGATTTGATCACTAAAGTAATTTTTACACATTAGACCACTAAACTCGTATTTGACCTGTCAATTAAACCATTTTTATCAAAATTAACCGGTTACAAAGTCACAAAGCTGATGTGGCATTTTATAATTAATTTATGTTTATTATTTGGTGGCCACGTCATTAATCCACCGGTCTCCATCGATCCTTCTTGTTTACCCCATCTCCATCTCTCTTTTGCTTTCCCTTAACTTCAAAATCTCATTTCCCATGATCTCTTCTCTGATTGCTCTCTGTGAACAAGTTCTTTGATAGCCTAAGCTCGAACAGTTTCTTACACTCGCCAAGTGTTCAAGGAATTTCCCCGGAGAGATTGTTTCTTTGAAAAACTTCGGAACATTCAAGCCAGTTAGATTCTCAATCTCTTCTGGCATCCCACCGGAAAGCCTGGTCAACCTCGCTAATTTTGAAGGAATAAACCCGGAGAAACTGTTATTAGTCGAATCGAACAACAACAACAAATCGGACCCCATAAGAGGCGAAATCGAACCCGAGAATCGATTTTGAGAAATATTAACAATGGTGAGATTCTTCAAATGAGAGAATGTTTCAAGAAGAGGACCTTCGAAAGAATTATTATAAAGACTAAGAAATGAAAGCTCAAAAGATACCTAAATGTATTTGAAAGTGATCCTGAAAGCTTGTTATCACACAACGATAAAGTTTGAAGCTTTATGTAGTAACCCAAACTCAATGGAACCCGACCCAATAAATCTTTTTGACTCAACTGAAGGAAAACCAGATTCTTGAGCTTCCCAATTGTACCCAAAATCTGACCCGTGAAATGATTCAAAAAAAAAACAATTCATTTAACATCGAGCAATTCTTGAACTCAATTGGAATGTTTCCTAAAATCTGATTATTGTAAAGATATAATACACTTAGCTTCTCTAATTTCCGTATTTCAATCGGAATTTCACCTATAATCATGTTCCCAAATAGATAAAGATTCACCAGATTACTCAAGTTTCCGATTTCAGAAGGTAAACTACCGGAAAAACTATTATTGTTGAGTAAAAGATCAATGAGGTTCTTTAGATAGTGAATCCCAGATGGTATTTCGTTTCCAAAGTTATTACCAGAAATGCCCACCACTTCGATTGAAGAACAGATTAGCACCAGAAAAGGGAAATCGCCGGAAAGACGGTTGCTGGAGATAAACAAATGGCGTAAATTCGAGTCCCTCGAGCACAGTTTCTCCGGGAACCCACCAGTGAAAGAATTGCTAGACAAAACTAAAGCTTTGAGGTTACCATTTTCTAAATTGAAACGGGTAATGTTTCCTGAAAGATTGTGACTTGAAAGATCAAGATTCTGGAGCTCAGAAGCCGGAGTAGCTCCGGCGGGATTTCGCCGGTCAACCGGTTTCCATGAAAGTTCAAGTAATTCAAGGTGGAAAGGTTA